CAATAAATATCATTAAAATATAATAAAAATGGTAATAGAACTGATGCCAAGTAAGGAACCCACGAATACTCTGTTCTTTTTGATTCTGGAAAGTTGTACAACTGAGAAACTTTTGTTGCGTGATTAGCTAACTTTAAAGGATTAATACATTTCGTTTTTAAAAATGATGAATTCATTTTAATCTCAAATAGCTCACGAATGTAAGTTAACCTATAATAAAAACAACAAACAATACTTATGAAAATAAAGCATTGTGATTCGAAATTTTGTAAGTAAAACGTTTCAGAACTTACACAAAAATACTTTATTTAAGCACGTCTTTGTTATTACACATTAATAATTATTAAAACTAAAAAGAAGTAGACAACAAGTAGCACATTAAATATAAACAAACTCTGTCCGGTTGTAGTATGCTGTATGAGTATATGAATATGAAAGTAGCAGACGCCTGTAAAAGCGGCTCTTTTGAACCACTGCTACAATAAAATATAAATTTAAAAGTTTTATATCTGAAAAATAAAAAATAATGCCTTCTTGAAAATTGTTATACCGACGTAAAAAGACCTGATCTTTCGATTCGATTAGTTTCGTTAGTTTCGATTTTTCGATTGGAGCCATGAAAAAAAAATGGACTTTTTGAGATATAATGCTTTCTTTTTCTTTTCATTTTTCGAGGTTATGAAATTTTGTTTGCATTTCTGATAATTTTATCGGAAAGCTGAGGAAAAAAATCATCGAATCTGTATTTTTAGTACTTAACATAATAGTAATAATTGACTGAAAAGTAAGTGTTTTTGAGCTTACACCACTGGGTGTGTGAGTTGATGCGAAATGCCTCTTAATGGTGAGCGCTTTTTCTAGTCGTATACTTTCAATACATGAATCTCTTGCGACCTTCTCAATTTTTTAAATCAATAATCCGTTCAAATTTTTCAAGTGTTGTAGGCGAGATGGGTGGTATATTCATGGATGTGATGATATTGTTTAGATGTGAAGCACCTATTCCAGCATCGATTATTCCTATTGGATGAAGTAAGATCATATATGAGTGATACGAGCTTACAGCTACTCGATTTATGAGAAATTTACCAAAGGTTGCTTAGTCATATGAGCGTATGTAACTGCAAGTTCTACATTTGATTAAGGTAGTAGGTGGAGAGCCTTCTTAAGTCACCATGTCAGCTTTAATAAATAATAGGTATATGACTCTAATGCTTGTAGATAAGTTAGAAATTAGTTATGGCTTTCATAGGTACACAAGCAATATTGATAAATTTATCATCGTACCAATAGGCACATATATATGGTTGGCAGCCCTTGTATACAAGCACTCTCAAAATCATCCATACATGCTTTTTTCGATACCAAATATACTAAAGATTCATAATACAAACCCTTTTTTTATTTTTTGTTTCAAGAAATTTTCTTAAGAAATAAATTAAAAAAAAAAAATTATCCTCCCCGGGTGCGGAAAAATTACCCTTCACTGAAGTCGCCAGAATGCACAGAGATTTATGGGAAATAACTTTTACACATTTATATAGCATTTCTACGTACCGTTCACCCTGGGCATCAGTCACCTCGAAGACCAATTCTGTCACGATATTTTTTATGAACAACTTAAAATCCCCAAGAAATGAGTTTGAACTAATTATATGACGAATTTCCCGAAAACTCTAGGAAACGACAAAGATACCATTCACCCTGGATACCAGGTATTTTGGAGACTAATTCTATCAAGATATTTGTGTTCAGCGATCGCCAATACCCCCGAAGAACGAGTTTGGAATAATTTTTATCACTATTAATCGAATTGTGAATTTAGTATTTACGGTTTATTTAAAAGGCGATTATAAAATATATATTATTTATGCCAACTGATTTTTAATTTTTTCTAAATCAATTAAGAAGGTTTGGGAGTATCATTCAGAGAGGCGAGGAACGGGGAGTCCCCCCTGCCCGCGCAGATGTACCCCCTTTACCGCGCACCTCCTCTTGCACTCTACAAACTTGAAACTGTACGACTTTAATTGATTATATTTTTGAAAAATGCCTGGCAAGGCTTGATTTTTTTTGTCGAGCATCTTCTTTTTATACCAAGTTATCTATGAAAACGTTTTTTTTTATTCCAACACATTTAGAATATACCTTAATTTCAATTAAAAGGCAAACCTAACCTTGTTCTCTCATAAGAAACCGTGTTAAACTGTCAATATTTCATAATTTTTTTCTCGAAAATTTCCCCTGGTAAAAAATCTGAAAAAATTCATGTGCACTCTTAACATGCTCAAATATAACATACATTTTTTTTGGCACATTTCTCCATTTTTAACTTTTCTCCCAAACCTCCTTAAGGTCACAAATTTTTCTGAAGCTCTGTCGAATTGAAAGCACAAAACAGCATTCAAACCCATCTTACAGATTAAATTTTTCGAACTTTGGTGATCGTTACGCACTACGTTTTATTATATACTGTGCATTTATATTTTGTTAAACGTTCGCCTGTTTTATTATTTTTGTTATTATCACATTCATCAAGATCAAGAAAAAAAGGTAATTTTTCACACGTTCAGTTAAGTCGTGGTGAAGATCGTGTCACGATCGATCAAAGAAGGGCTGGTCGGGGGCACTCTTTTCTTCCTCACTAATCATCTTAGTGATTAATAAAAGGGGAAGACCACGGAGCAGGAGAGCTGAGCGCTCAAACGCAGACGAAATACGTCGTCTTTCTTTTGATCCAATTCGTTTCCTTGACAACCAAACATTGAGTTTCTTGGTTTTTGAGTTTCCTTTTTCGACAGGGGAGCGTCGGAATTCTTCTTGTACGAAAACGAGCAACAACTAAAACTGTTTTAAATCAGAACTGTCGGAAAATAAAAGTTTTATTCGCAAATATTTTAAAAGTTCTAGAAGTTTTTCCGAGTAAGAAACAGCTGATTTTCGTGATTCATTTCTTTGACTAACAGAATTACTTTTGTATCTCTTAAGCTTTTCGACGCGAAGAAATCATCGATCCACTTTCAAACTTATTTAAATTTTTGAAAGTGTATACCTTGAAGAGCGTCATTTATAGACCTAAAAAGATGATTATCAGTTGGCACGAGGTCTGGAGTATATGCCGGGTACCGCAAAACTTCCCAGCCAAGAGACATAAAATTTTGACGGACAGGTTTAGTTGTTGACAATAATGTCCACGGTAACGGTATGATTCGGTTGTAGCAGTTCATCATACAAAATTTTCTTCAAGTCCGACTAAACACAAAGCATTACTTTAGCTGTACAAATTTCTCGTTTTGGAATTGAAGTAGAGGGTTGTCCAGGGTCAACATATGATTTTTTCTGCTTTAGATTATCGAAATAAATCTACTTTTTATTTACTGTTATAATTTTTAACAAAAACGACTTCTTGTGATATTTAATAAGGACAGAATTGCAAGTATCGATTCGTTTGTTTTTGTTTTTTTCACTTAACTGGTGTGGAACCCATTTTCCTGCCTTTGCAAATTTTTCAATCGCTCACAAATGTCTGGCAATTGATGTTTAGTCAACTCAAAGCACTTCTGCTAGTTTTTGTTGAATACGATATGGATTCTCGTCGAGCAAAGCTTGCAAATCATTGCCTTAACACTTTTCTGGACGAGCTTCGCTTTCATGTTCATCCAAACTCAAATCACAACTTTTGAACCGTTTGTACCATCTGGTTGCATATGTTACCAAACTATCACCAAAAACTTTATTTAGTGATTCAAAGGCGCCTTTCACCTTTTTTCCTCGTTGATATTCGCAAAGAAGAAAATGGCGAAAATGTTCATCTTAGCGATATTGTAAACCTTGTTTTTTTATACTTTGTAAAAATCATACGAAAATTCTTATAGCTTAAGTAGATCACAACCACATTGTAACAGGGCGCAGAAAAATTAAAAGTTTAAATTACTTTTCAGCGTATCAAAAAAGAATTTGCATTATTCTTGCACACTCCTAATACATACACTTACACATATTGTGTTGACACAGTCACAATGCGTGTTTTTATTTTTTTCAATGTCGTAAGATACATGAAAACATCAAACCAAATTTATTACCGTATACCAACATAATATACACTTAGATCATCGATTAATTTGGTCAATTTACCCTGAATAATCTTTTTTTTCGTTATTAAAAATTTTTTCCATAAGGCTCTGTGCGTTCTGGAGATCTTAGCGAGGTATAATTTCTCTTACTCGGCAGCGCAACCTGAATTAGGCACATAGCGAATACAAAAATTAAAAATTAATACACATTAAAAATACGACAGCATTATGTATAGTAATCTTGTAGATATGTCAACAGAGATGTTATTTCTAGTTACCTAATAATCCAGCATATATTACAGTATATTCACAATATACAGGACCACAGAAATCGTAGAAGCGATAAAACATGGCTAATCTATCTATCAACGACAAATTATAGTAGGCGGAAACATTTTTCTTTAATGTTGTTAGATTTTTATTTTAGTTCCTAAAAAATGACCACCCTAGTAGTGAGTTTTTCGAAATGTCACAGACTTACTATTATTAATATAAAAATTTTTGTAATTTTTTTTTGCGTATCGTTCAACTGTTCAGGATTTAAAAGCCTGTGATAATAAGCGTATAGTACAGTGAGTCAACGATCAGTATAGTAAAAAAAAAATATTCTCTGGGTAAAAAAAGTCATTTAACATTTTTCTGTTCACATTCGTAATTTACACTGACTAGGTGTCGAGACTCCTTGAAGTGCGTTTCCTTAATAAGTTAAGGACATGGGAGGTCATATTGTCTAATTAGTCTGGAAATAAAGATAAAAAGAAAAAATATCGTATTTTTAGCGACGAAAGCTTAGAATCAACGACTCCACTTTAGTGGCACGTATTTATGCTCGTATTTTCAAACTTCAAATAAATGCTACAACTAAAAAAAATAAGCCGAAAATTATATTATCTTCTTATTGTGAAAAGAGTAATGTTAACGTAATAGAATCAATTTTAAAGTATTATTGTTTAAATATTTTAAAGTGTTGAAATAGAAATTTTTGTACCATGGGCGCAAAGTAAAAAAATCTCGCCTGAAGAGTGGGGTTTCGTATGTGTGTGCCCAAGGTCCGAACATAGTTTTTCTTTCTGAGGGCGCAAAGTCGCACTATGTGCAAGTGGGCACTCCTTGCGTCCGGTGGGCTGAAAAGTACCTCAAGGGCGTAAAGTAATTTAAGGGTGTTAAGTTAGACCCAATAGCGCCCTCTTTTGGGTCTATCTTGGACCTGAGGGCGCTTGCCAAATAATGTCCTAGAGATCGTTGGGAACGCTTTGGTCAGATGCACATGAGTGACAAACACTAAATTTCCTACTGGGTGCACAGCAGCCACTCAAAAATGCCTAAAGAAGGAAAAATATTATATAATTAAAGTTTATTAAAAATTTAATGAGATGTAGGAGGTATGAAAATGTATAAGACTTAAAGGAGTTCCATCGGTTACAGAATTATCAATGAGAATTTAACGAAAATTTATTTACAAATAAATAAAGTCATGAAAATGGCGCTGTCAAAATTTGAAGTCTTGAGGAGTCCTAGGAGCCGAGTAATTGATATTCATATTTAGCTGATTTTTACATGTAGGTTTATGGGCTGTCATCATTTCAAGCGTTTTTATTGTGTTTACCTCGCTTATTAACAATGAACTTTTGATACAAATTTTATCAATGATAAAAAAAATATCTATTGATCGTATTTTATTTTATTGAACATCTCGACAGTCCTATGGAGAGAAGAAATTGATTAATAAGTGTAGTGAGAACTACAAAAGGTTATGTTTTCACAGGATAGTGAGAAAAACAGACGACATACTAAACTATAGAGTGTCGCATGGACTATAGCGAGGAATAGAATCTCCTTCAGACAGTCGTACTATCTCGTGGATGCATTTGTAAATAGAGGTGTTGTTGCATGTATGAATAGAGGTTCGTCAAAGGTAGGTAGCATTACTACGTAAAAAGTTATATCATACTTTTAAGTATTATAAGGCGTTATGAATAATAATGATGTTTGTGTAACTGAATCCTGGTGTCCCATAAGAATTGATATAGCATCAAAAATATCAACTACCATTTATCTTGCAAAAGTCAAAGTGAAAGCGCATATTTTTACTTATACTTAAAGTGTGTATGCAATATAAATATAGACCCAGATCTTACTAATACAAAATAAATCCTTTCAAATATGTTTATACACCTGTAACTGAGAATTGGCATTTGAACTCTGACATTATGCACCCTTGTGGAGAATTTGAAAAACTAAGAGATAAGGCTTCTACTTAGATGAAAATTGAAAGTAAGCGAAATTTTGAACCAAGCCTTGTTGCCACGCCATCCACCTTGGCTGTAGCTGAGCACTTGACCTGGCTTCTAGTGGGATTGTAACACATCGCAGATTTTGGCTCAGCTTAAACTGACTTTCATCCAGTAATCTGTTTTATAATTATATTAATTAAGGTTATGGAAATTTATTGCTTTAGAATAAGATGTATAAAATAGTTTGACGACACCTGGAATTTAAATGCGGATTTTTTTACTTTTTCTGTGTCACAAAATCTCAAAGTTGTT